CTCGTCGCCTGGGCTGGAGTGCAGTGGCCGGATCTCAGCTCACTGCAAGCTCCACCTCCCAGGTTCACGCCATTCTCCTGCCTCAGCCTCCCGAGTAGCTGGGACCACAGGCACCTGCCACCACGCCCGGCTAATTTTTTTGTATTTTTAGTAGACACGGGGTTTCATTGTGTTAGCCAGGATGGTCTCGATCTCCTGACCTCGTGATCCGCCTGCCTTGGCCTCCCAAAGTGCTGAGATTACAGGCGTGAGCCACAGCACCCGGCCAGTTATTTCTTAACCTTAGTTTAGAGAAAACTGAGGCTTGTAGAGTAGGAATTCTGCTGGGTAATTCGGCTACTAAGCAGCACAGCTGGAACTGAAGCTGCCTGATTCCAAAGCCTGTGCCCCAAACCTCTACACAGTTCCAATGGGAAAGCTTCCTCCAGTCCAGTTTTATTCTGTGGACCTCTGTTCACATGAAAGAATTCTTGTTCTCCGGACTAATACATGAGACCTGCTAGATTAGTAACAGCAGGGAATCTGACGCTCATGCAGCACAGCTTGGTTTGAGATACCAGGCATGATGGACATCTAACCAGTGCTCCCGGGGGCACAGGCAGCCCCTCTTCTGAGAAAGGAAAAGTTGTTTGGGCTTCCTCAGGGCTGGTACTTAAGAAAAGGACATGCTTGGGTGCCGTCAGCCCAGCATATACACGTTTGCCTCCAAGCTCCTGAGCACAGGACCCGGGTCATGCTCCCTGAGAGTCCCACCATCTCCTCTGCATACACAGGTCCACATGGACAAAGTGCATGCTCCGCAAGTGTGGAGAACTAACAGATAAACAGCCAACTACCTCTGCCCATATTCCCCCCCGCCCAGCTTAAACTCCTGAAATGTGAAATAACCTTAGCAGGATTTCACCTGATATTTTTTAAAAATTAAAACACCAAGTTGATATTCAAGATCTTTATTGATTTAACTATAACAGCAACCATTGATGAGAATTTAATTTTTTCCCTAATTTCCAAACATCTGCTGGTTTGGAAGGATAGTTAGAATACAAAAACAACTGATCATGGAATCACACAGGACTGCCTCAAGGACTGCGTGGTACCCTCTGCTATCCATCCACACACAGTGAAATGGATGGGAGGGATGAGGGGACAACACATCATGGGAGACAAAGGGAAGACCAAGGAAAGTGCTGGCAGTCTCTGCTTTTCCATTCAGAATGGATGGAACTGGGCCATTAGTGGCACTAAGACAGGGCAGGGCTATTTTTTTTCTTAAATAAAATATTTTAAAGATGCATAAAACGGACACCTTAGCATGTGAGTGTCCTTTGGGCTCTTCAAGACACCTTCTTTAAAGTTTACCCCTGGAGTAGCAGAGGGTCTCCTCACCCAGGTGGAAAGAGATGGGCTCCATCTGCAGGTGAAGGAAAGGCACTGGCGCACGGCACTCAGCAATTCAGATACAGGCACCAGGTAGGAGCAGGATGGCTTACCCAGCAACCTGCCTCTTAGCTCCCTGCTAGTGTTCTTCCCTCCTCCCCTGGTTTCCAGTTAAAAGTACCCTTGGCCTGGGCTTTAAAAAAAAAGATTAAGCTGGAGAGAAAGGGGATACACTTGGGCAAGAATGGATATTTTGTGCTAGATTCATGGAATTTTCTAAGTGTCCAGGTGTTTTGGTTTTAAGCACCGGCAAGAGCTCCCTTTGGAAATTTCAGTGTGGCCAAATGATTATCAAGCATTGCAGCATCTCTCTGCCAGCCTCCCACCCTTAGAAAGGTGGCAGAGTGAGAGTTTAAATACCCTGGGAAATGTGTTTCATCTCAGTAATATTTCCACTGGGTATCCATGACATACAGTATGGTCTGCCAGGGCTGCAGGCAGAGAGTCATAAGCAAAGAGAATCTACAGACCCTCTGGACAGGGACTCATAAGCCTTCTCCTAAATCTAAGCTTTGCCAAAAGGTTATCAACTTCCAGGACCAGCCTAGAGAAATAAATTTAAATTCCAGAGAGTAGGAAAGGTGATGTAAATGATTAACTGAAAAAACAAGTAAGTATCAATAACTCTTAAAGTTTTCAGTGAGAAATTTCTCTAAGTTAGCCTCAAGAAACTCCACTACTAAACTGGAAAACCATGACTAGGAACAGGAAGCAGCCCTGGGGTAGAAGCATCCTAAAGAATTGTGACCCAACTGCATCAATATCTGATTTCATCTTTTATTAAAAGCTGAGAGTTAAAAGAACTGTAGGGATAACTAAGTCCACCTCAAAGTCCAGACAGAAACTGCCCTCCCAAAGAAACGTTTCTTTAAAACAAATACCACGCCTTCCCAGATATTATGGGTAGGCAAGTGACTGGGTTTTGCAGATTAATCAATAGCTGCCCATGTGCATGTAGTCCAGAAAACATGCCAAGAAGAGCTCTGAACCAGACACAGAAAGGCAGTGTGGCTTCCTCTCTAAAGAGGAATGCAAAGGGCTAAGAGCCCTGGCTTCAAGCAGCTGTTATCCTAGATGAGGAAAATGGAAATAGATTCAATCTCTTGGATACTGCTGCCAACATGCTGAGCCCTTCACCAGTTGCCTTGATTTGAAGCAGACCCTCTATGTATACTGGCTAATGGACGGACTCCGGCAGTGAAACCCACATACTCAGCAGGCTGCATTCTAATGAGAATGAGGGAATTAAACCAATGGTGTTTGAGCTGGAAAGATAAGGTCTGAGAGTGTCAAAGAGCTGGAAACCCAAAAAAAGAGAAGACCAATCCACCTCAAAATAAGAAAGAAAAACAAAATTCATTTAAGGGTACTCTAAAGATGAGTTATTTACTTCTGGAAGAAGTATCCTTCTCTTATAGCTCCCTCAATAGCAGTACTTCTTATCCAAGTATACTCTCAAGCAAGCAGGGCTACAGATAAGAAAAAGCTGGGAAGAGACAGAGCATAAATCTAAACAAGAATTTGCATATTTGGCCGGGTGCAATGGCTCACACCTGTAATTCCAGCACTCTGGGAGGCTGAGGTGGGCGGATCACTTGAGGCCAGAAGTTCAAGCCCAGCCTGGCAAACATGATGAAACCCCGTCTCTACTAAAAATACAAAAATTAAAAATTAGCCAGGCGTGGTGGTACATGCCTGTAACCCCCGCTACTCGGAAGGCTGAGGCAGGAGAAACACTTGAACCTGGGAGGCAGAAGCTGCAGTGAGCCGAGATCACACCACTGCACTCCAGCACTCCAGCCTGGGTGACAGGGCGCAACTCTTGCCTCAGGAAAAAAAAAAAAAGAGAGAAGAAAGAAAAGAAAAGAAGAAAGAAAGACGACTTGGTTAGGAATGAGTGCCAGAAACACATAGTAGCCATTCACTAGAATGTGTTGAACTGAAAAACTTAAGTTTGTCTTGAGGGAGAACACAAGACCAGTTCTTTAAGAACACATTGCCATCAAGAAGCCCAGGAAGAGATGGGCGGGCATGCAGGGTTAACCTGTGCACTGGATTTAGAGGAGCAATCAAGCACTGACATTTGTCATTCTTAGATGTTCCCTATTTTATTGAGTGGTTGCTTCCTGGGTGAGAGACCTGACCTGAGTCTGTTGAGACTGGAGAGACCAGGTACCAAGCACCCACTCTGGTGGGAACCTGGCTTCCTGATAACGTCATCTATTTCACCTAAATGTGAACTGCTTTCTTTTCTTCAGCTCAATAGCTTAACATCTAATTCATGTTTGCTCCCTTTGCTGGACAATCCCCATTCCAAACAAGACAGGTTTAGTGGCTCAGCTGGAAGGCCCCAGTTCCTTTCATTAATTCCTAGCTACAGGCAAATAAAAGTGGTAAATGAGTCTTACGGACACCAAGTCTAGGACGTGCAAATAAGCATACTTGAGCTGTTGGTAGTTAGGCATATTATTTTCTACTACTCCTAGGAATTGCCATTTCTTACCACCCTCTCAAAACCAGCAGGTAGCTTTGGGGAGTTTGCCTTCTGTCCCAGTTTGGTTATGCACATCTTGGAGAATTGTTTTTGATAGCAATCTGTCTTTCAGCCTATCTACATTAAACCTACCTCCCTGTTGACCTACTTTCATCCTCAGTTGGGGTGTGGTGCTTTTAAGATATGTCCATAAATTATTTGCTACTGCTCCACTGGGGTAGAGGTATGTGTCCTCTCTCCTTGAGTGCAGGCTGAGCTTAGTGGCTTGCTTCTAAAGACTAGGATAAGAAGTGATGGTGTGTCCTTTCCAAGCCTATGTCTTAAAAGGCACTGCAGCTTTCTCCTGGCCCTGCCCCACGATCTCTGGGATCAGCTGCTCAGGGAGAAGCCAGGTGCCTTATGCAGAGACCCACATGGGAAGAAACTGAGGCATCCTGCCAACGGCCACAAAAAGAGAACTTGGAAGTGGTTTCTCCAGCTCCAGCTGACTGCAGCCCCTGCTCACATCTTGACTGTAACTTCATAATACCCTGGGCCAGAACCATCATGTTAAACTACTCCCAAATTCTTAACCCACAGAAACTGACACATAATGTTTACTATTTTAACATACTAAATTTAGGGTAATTTGTTACACAGCAACAGATAACTAATACAGGTGGAAGGACAAAACTCTTGGCTTGGAAGCCCAATGCCTAGAAAGTCAGCTTCTCTGTATCTGTGCCCTTGAAAATGCTGTACCTATTTATAAACCACACTATAAAGAAGGCAGAACCGGCCGGGCGCGGTGGCTCAAGCCTGTAATCCCAGCACTTTGGGAGGCCGAGACGGGCGGATCACGAGGTCAGGAGATCGAGACCATCCTGGGTAACACAGTGAAACCCCGTCTCTACTAAAAATACAAAAACTTAGCCGGGCGAGGTGGCAGGCGCCTGTAGTCCCAGCTACTCGGGAGGCTGAGGCAGGAGAATGGCGTGAACCCGGAGGCGGAGCTTGCAGTGAGCTGAGATCCGGCCACTGCACTCCAGCCTGGGTGACAGAGCGAGACTCCGTCTCAAAAAAAAAAAAGAAGGCAGAACCATGACAATGCATGTCTGCTGTTGGAATTTGAAGGAAAGTCACTTCTCATTATGATCAATTGTCCCCACAAGTATAGAAGCATGGGTTCCTCGTAAAAAGAAAACTACAAATGGAAACTAAGATGTTAAGAGCTGTCTCAGTCAAAGTGGTAACTTAAGAGTATTCCTTCCCTCTAAAAAACCCAGGACACATTCATTAAGGGTTTCATCTGTGAGGTTCCCTCCAAACATGCAGAGGCAAACCACCCAATGGACTCTGGCTTGTTCTAAAAATAATTCTATGAGGCATGACACAAAGGTATCATCTATTGGAAGTTTATCTCATGCCCTGTGAAATTATTTTTTAAATGCCAACTTATGGAGGTCACAGACTGTCTAGTAGTGGTGGCCTCTGGGAAAGAACTGCACCAAGCCTTAAGGAAGTCCTGGCAGAGAAGGGTAAGGGATTGAACAGCTGCCGCATTATACAGCTGACACTCCCAAGAAATACTAAAAACATGCCTTCTGATTAGGGGGTCACATGCAGAAGCTCCCCAAGACGGCAAGAAAAAGGAAAATGGCATCTTGATACTACTAAAGCTCATGCTTTAAATCCATTCCCCACCAATTAGTGAGGAAGCCAAGTTTTCACACATAGCAATAAAGATCAAGAAGAGTTCACTCTTCCGCTCACTGACGGACTGACTAGCTGCTAGTTGGGTCAAATTCCACAGGATGCCAAGGCCAGTGTATGAAGAACGAAAAGCTTCATTCCCAAAGAATCAGGCTCCCCAGGGCGCAGAGAGGTCCTGAGCATGCTTCTTATGTAAATTACAGCGCAACTTAGGTTTTTCCAAGAATATGTAAAATGAGACTTGGAGTTTAATTAAACAGAACAGGGATACACTAAACAAACAAACAAAAAATACTTTTCTGATTATCAATTTTTTTGAGACTCAAAGCATCCCCAAAACATTGGAGATCCAGCTTATTCCTGAGACATCAACCATCACAAAAGGTTTTCACTCTGAACTATTCACATTTTTGTAGCAGAAAACAGAACAAAGTTCTGCAGACATCCTTTCTCTCTTCTTTCTAAAATGTATTCACAAACAGGGTCTTTTCAGAGTTCAAAAGAAAAACAGGTTTCTTTCTTGGCCAAATGGCTGTTACTCTCACCCTGGGATCTGATTTCTTAATAAAAAAGTTCAGGGCACCAAATCTAACCAGAAATTCCCAGGACACCAGTGGCTACTTAACTATAAGGGGATGGATGCTTTAGTCTTTCTATGAGGGGAATCATTCTCCCGGGATTATTATGCTGCTCAATAGTTCCAGGAGAGGTAGGTGGGAAGGAGGGTGAATGCAAAAGCTAAAGGGTCAGAGAAAAGAATGAGGCTTTCATGAACAACCCATAGCAAGGCAGAATGGTCCAGTTTTACAAACCACCCACTACAAACTCCAAACATGCACACTCAAAACTAGAGGGGAAAGGAAAGAGCTCCTGGGGGACTAGGGGAGACAAAAGATGGTGACATAGAACAGCAGACTCGCCTATGAACATTTCTCATCTTCCTAACACTGGAAGATGTTTAATTAAAAAGTTGCTGTTCAAAATTGTACTGAAAACATATCTAAAAATAGGTCTGTAGTCATCTTAAAAATAAAAGGTCACTTCTCAGATAAGAGGAGTGACAGATATTCTCAGATACCAACACTTGAGGTATCTTTGATGTAAATTTGAAAAATGGCCTGGTAGAGAAAAAGGAAGGAAAGGAAGGAGAGAGGAAGAAAGTGAGGAAGGTAGGGAGAGAAATTCAGAATACAACAGGAAAGGCAAGAAAACTGGGAGGAATACATTTTTTAAGCCCATGCTTATCTATTCCAGCAGCCAAACAAAGCAGATCCACAAAGGAAAAAATGCAGTTCTTTTCTAAGAACATTCTGAAAATCAACTTCAAACTCAAAACATAAGAAACTGCAATCTAAGAACAACTATCACAATGCTCACTGGACTTAAAAATGACAACTGAGACCGGGTACTCAAATGGGTCAACGTTCTTCAGAGGTCATTCTTAGGCATTATCTGACAGAATACTATGATGAGGCTTTACCCACCAAGTAGAGGCTAAAGTGCTTCTATTACTTGGTATGGACCTGCTTTAGGAGCAGACAAAATCACTTCGCTTTCTTGAAGTACAAGAGGACTCTGCCAGCAACAAGATGCAAGCAGGGAAGAGTGGCAGAAGAAGAGCAAAACTGGTTACCAAGGGCTCTCTTCTGATGTACAGAGTTAAAAATATCTGCACAAATGCACTAAGTAAAAGAACAGGAAGATGAACTATAATACCAAAGACAGAAGACATTCCTCCCAGAGGAAAGAAAGAAAGTGGACCTCAAAACAGTGTCACAAGGTAATGCTACTAGAGTTGCACAAGCTGTGCTCTGTCCCGAGGGACAAATACCTCAAGGTAAAAGGGAAAGCAGCTCTCTTTTTTATCATTTCCCCCTGCTGGTTCCCAAGCCCAGACTCTTGCAACACTGAACCATAGGTGGCATAGAGGGAGGAGAGACAGAGGGTAAGGAACATGAATGGTGTTAGGCCCACCAAACCTCTGTATCCCTTCCCAGACAGGCAGTTGTTGATAGGTTGAGATTCGATGTGGGACAAAATTACAGGGTAGGAGGGTGGCTCTCAATAAAAAAACAACTAGGAAAGTCAGAGTTGAACTGTTGTCCTCTAAGGGCTGCTTAGCTCTACAGAAACACAGCCTTCAATCTAACCTGTTTAACTGGGAAGGGTAACAGGAGACAGGGAGAAGAAATGGTCAGATGAAGCTCATCTTCCCATCATTTGGCACCCAGAGGAAGAGGGGGAGGTGGAGACTGTAATGGGGACTGCTGGTATTGCCTCTTCTGTCTTTTCACTGTTGATCCTATTAGCCAAATCAGGTGCACACAAGTATCAGTGTTGCTTTTCTTCTAATCCTTGCAGGAGAGTCAGATGTCCATCTCGAACTGAGCATCATCCCCTAGTTAGGACAAATGAAATGAAGAGTTTAGCACATACACAAAAAAGCACAACAGTTTTAACTGTCATTCCCTCTATCTGAGAGACAAAAAATAATTCAAACTGTCCCACTCTCTGCTGCCTTGAAACAATTACTCTGCTTTGCTTTGGCTGGTCTTAATCTGAAAAAGAAGAATGGCAGTTCCATCGCCCATGGGGGGAAGCTTTGGGGAAAAGGACACAAGTGAAAACATCCCCAGTGTCTCTTTGTCTTCAGGTTGAATAAACAGCAGCTCCTGGGGAGCTCTTTGCTGTCTCTCAGGGGAGCACATTCTTCTGGAGGCTTTGGACTTTGGCCCTGCTCCAAACTGACACTTTGTCCATTAAAAAACTCATCTGAAATATCACAAAGCAGAATGCTGGCCCACATCTAGGGATCACTAAGTGCAGTCCCTGAGGAGTATTTCAGCAGTTGGCCACTCCTACCTCACCATTCTGCTTCTACAGAGATAAAGAATAAAAGAATGTGTTGGAGGAGGGGTAATTTAGGTAAATCTTAAAGGCAGTTCCGGAAAATAGAGGAAATAAACCATATTGCTTTTCCTCATACTATAAAAAAGAAATTCATATAAGAAACAAGGTCTATTTGCCTGAGGGTGATGGAAATGGGGGCTATGAAAATTGTTTCATTTTCTTTCTTTCTTTCTTTTTATTTATTTGAGACGGAGTCTCACTATGTCACCCAGGCTGGAGTGCAGTGGTGCGATCTCGGCTCACTGCAAGCTCCGCCTCCCGGGTTCACGCCATTCTCCTGCCTCAGCGTCCCGAGTAGCTGGGAATACAGGTGCCCGCCACCATGCCCGGCTAATTTTTTGTATTTTTTAGTAGAGATGGGGCTTCACTGTGTTAGCCAGGATAGTCTCGATCTCCTGACCTCGTCATCTGCCCACCTTGGCCTCTCAGAGTGCTGGGATTACAGGCATGAGCCACTGTGCCCGGCCTGAAATTGTTTTGTTTTCTGTGTTATTCTTAGTCCAATGAAGCCTAGGCCAGGTAGTCCTTAAGGCATGGTTCGAGAAGTCACTTTTGGAGTTTATCATACTGATTCTGGATTCTTTTCTCCCACCAACTACATCAGATTTATGATTTAGAACTCAGGGTTTTCAGAGCATTTCAAGAAACCTTTGGGGGAGGAGGGAAACTTTACAGACATATAACTGAACATTAGCTATAACTGAAGAACTGGCCAGGCGCGGTGGCTCACACCTGTAATCCCAGCACTTTGGGAGGCTGAGGCGGGCAGATCACCTGAGGTCAGGAGTTCAAGAACAGCCTAAGCAACATGGCGAAACCCCGTCTCTACTAAAAAATACAAAAATTAGCCAGGCGTGGTAGCAGGCGCCTGTAATCCCAGCTACGCGGGAGGCTGAGGCAGGAGAATCACTTGAACCTAGGAGGCGGAGGTTGCAGTGTGCTGAGATCGTGCCATTGCACTCCAGCCTGAGTGACAGAATGAGACTGTCTCAAAACAAAAAAAACAAAAAAACAAAAAATAAAAACTGAAGAATCAATAGCTTCTCAACCTATAGCAACCAGACATTCAAATTCTAAGAGCCACGCTCTAGGTCCCCAACACCACCATTCTCTTACCAACTGCATGTTTCCTGTCGTGATTGTTCAAGTTGTTCAAATTGTTTACTTCTACTTTGGAGTCTTCAATTAAGGTGCCAGGGCTAGTGACTCCTGGGATATTGGGCAGATGGCAGGGTGGGGTCTGAGCCATGGGAGAATTGCGACGATCCAACAGAAACTTTCTGTCATAAATGATTCGAGTTCCTGGAAAACAGGGTTAAAAAGAGTTTGAAACAATTTAAGGGGTTATCACCATATACTATCCAGCAATTTAATTTAAATCCCATGTAATCCTAACTTTTAAGGATTTTACAATTGAAGTCAAAAGCATAATCTCTAACCTCCCTGCCTGTAAACAGGCTCCTCTGCCATCTGGAATGCCCTCTTTCTCTTCTGCCAGGGACACTCCTGCTGATCCTCCAAGACTCAGCTCCAACCATCACTTCCTTTATGAAGCCATCCCCACCCCTCACTTTTTTAAAAGGTTCTTCCTCTCCATCTTACACACATCACGTATTACAGGACTCCTGTTTATCCATCTGTCTCTCTTTATAGACTTTGAGTTTCTTATGTCAGGGCTATGTCTTATTTATACGTGACCTAGGCCCTAATATTAACATCTTTAAGAAAAAAAAGTTTTAAATTTATGAAACTAGGAAAAAAAAAAGTTTTAAATGAAAGAATAAACAAGTATGAGAAAAAATAAACAGTCCCTTTTAAAGGCTTTCCAAAGAAGGACTGAGACTGACATTCTTCTCACAGCTATTATCAAAGCTGAAACTGGCAGTCCCTCTCTATTCTACAAAACAATCTGCTTACCAGTAAGTACTACCTGAATGTTTTAAAAACAATAGTTCTGAAGAATACACTTTAACTGATAAACAATTATGCTGCTTACAAATGGTCAATAGGTACATTAAAAGGTGCTCGACATCACTAATCATCAAGGTAATACAAATCAAAACCATGATGAGGTATCACTTCACATCTCTTAGGATGGCTATTATCAAAAAGACAAGAGAGCCTGGGCATGGTGGCTCATGCCTGTAATCCCAACACTTTGGGAGTCCAAGGCAGGAGGACTGCTTGAGCCCAGGAGTCTGAGTCCAGTCTGGGCAACATAGGGAGATCCTGTCTCCAAAAAAATTATTTAAAAAAGAGCCAAGTGAGGTGTTGTTGGTCTGAAGTCCCTACTACATGGCGGCTGAGCCAGAATAGCCTGCGTCCAGGAGTTCGAGGCTACAGTGAGCTACGACTGCACCTCTGCACTCCAGCCTGGGCAACAGAGCAAGATCCTGCCTCAAAATTTAGATCAAATATAATTTTAGGATGAGGAAAGTAGAAACTTACCTTCATCCTCTTTGCTTTGAAAAACAAAAACTAGAGTAGCACTCAAAAAGGCATCTAGATATTATGAGGAACGAGGTATTCTGGGTAGCACAAAACTTAGTTCAACTTTCAAAGAGTGAACAACTTCAATTATCTTGAATGGAAATACTTCTAATACAGATTTTAAATCCCTTTATGGCCTTCAACAGAAAATGATTCAACCCTCTTAATGAATCACAGTCATTATTATGAAAATTGTTTATTATACTATATTATGACCTAAGAAGTCTCAAGCCCTATCAAGCTAATGCTCTGTAGAGCTGAAAATCACTATACAGAGTTCAGGTGGTCAAGGCTGTGCTGGTGCACCCTTCCCCCACAGTGTCCTTGTCTCTTGTCAGACTAAGAGCTGCCTTTTTTCCAGGCTACTATGACTCAGTCAGCTCAGGCTGCCATAACAAAATACCACAGACTGCACAACTTAAACAACAGAAATTGTCTAATAGTTCTGGAGGCTAGAAGTCCAACACTAAGGTGCCAGCATGGATGGTTTCTGGTGAGGGCTCTTTTCCTGGCTTGTAGGTAGCTGCCTTCTCATTGTGTCCCTTACATGGGGGTGAGGCGGCCACAGCTCTGTGGTGTTCCATCTTATAAGGGCACTAATCCCATCATGAGGGTCCCACCTTTATGACCTCAACTCAACCTAATTAACTCCCAAAGGCACCACCTCCTAATACCATCATGTTGGGAATTAAGGTTTCAAAATAAGAATTTGGGGGAGACACAATTCAATCTGTATAGCACACCTTTAACACCCTTTCTAACTTGGTGTTTCTAGTCTGCTGTGTTTGGAAATCAGCAACTTGCTTATTAGCATGCTATGTAAAATAAGGGCAAATAGGCTGAAAGGGGGTCTGATGGCCTTCCAATGAACAAAGGGAAGGAGCTTTATCGATGGACTTTGCCTATCTGTTTGAGTTACCACATTTTTGTTCATGGTTAGATTTCAGAAGGGTAAGGTTTCACTGTCAGATGAGTCAACCTGCAAATTGGAACAAGATTATTCTTACTTCTGTAGTACATCAGGCCTGGAAATTGTGGAGATGAGGTGGTGAAAAAGCACAGCACAGAAGCAAGCTTTCTAAATTACGTATCAGCAATAACATATACATTAAAGAATTGCAATTAAACCAACTAGGATATAGGTAGTAGAGATTCTGCCTAAATGTGTGAGATATAAGAGAAACTCTGAAGAACCTCTATGATCTTAAAGAGCCGATAAGATACGGTATTTTACAAGTTTATTGAAATAGCATTCACTTACAATTCATCCACTTATAGTGCATAACTCAATAGTTTTAGTTCATATGCAGAACTGTACAATCATCACCATAATCAATTTTAGAACCTTTTCATTACCCCATAACCTCCCCTCAACCCCTTAGATGCCACCTAATCTCCCCACACCCTCTGGCCCTAGGCAACCACTAATCTATTTTCTGTCTCTATATATTTTTTTTTTTTTTTTTTTTTTTACCTATTCTGATCATTTCATATAAATGGAATCATACAATATATGGTCTTTTGTGACTGCTTCTTTCACTTTCATAATGTCTTCAAAGTTCGTTTATGTTGTAGCATTTATCAATACTTCATTTCTTTTTCATTACCAAATATTTCATTGTATGTATATATCACACTTTATCAATTTATCAGTTGATGGACTGGTAAGTCGATAAAAACAACAGTCCATCAACTGATAAATGGGTTGTTCCCACTTTTTGTCTGTTATAACATTCACGTACAAGTTTTTGTGTGAACACATTTCCTTTCTCTTGGGTATATACTAAACTAAAAAAGTGGAATTAGCCAGGCATGATGGCTCACACCTGTAATCTCAGCACTTTGGGAGGCCAAGGTATGTGGATCACTTGAGCTCAGGAGTTCAAGACCAGCCTGGGCAACACGGCAAAATCCTGTCTCTTAAAAACATACAAAAATTAGCCAGGCGTGGTGATGCATGCCTGTAGTCCAGCTGCTGGGGAGGCTGAGGGAGGATGACTTCAGCCCAGGAGATGGAGGCTACAGTGAGCCATGATTGCACCACTGCGCTCAGCCTAGCTAACAGAGTGAGACCCTGTCTCAAACAAACAAACAAACAAAAGGTAGAACTACTGGGTCATATGGTAACTCTACCTTTAACCATATGAAGAATTGCCATTTTTTTCTTTCAGTTTTTTTGGGGGGACAGTCTCGCTCTGTCACCAGGCTGGAGTGCAACTGTGCGATCTCGGCTCACAGCAACCTCTGCCTCCTGGGCTCCTGGGTTTAAGCGATTCTCCTGCCTCAGCCTCCCAAGTACCTGGGATTACAGGCGCATGCTGCTACGACCGGCTAATTTTTGTATTTTAGTAGAGACAGGGTTTCACCATGTTGGCTAGGATGGTCTCGATCTCTTGACCTCGTGATCTGCCCGGCTCGGCCTCCCAAACTGTTGGGATTACAGGCATGAGCCATGTGCCCAGCCAGAACTGCCTGTTTTCAAAGTGGTTGTACCATTTTACATTCCCATCAGCAGTGTGTGAGAGTTCTAATTTTTATATATTGTAGCCAACATATAGCAGATATGAAGTGGTTTCTCACTGTAGTTTGATCTTAATTTGTGTTTCCCTGATGGCTAATGATGTTGAACATGCTGTTTTCATGTACTTACAGGCCATTCCACCATATATCTTCTTTTGAAGAAACTGTCTATTCAGAACCTTTATTACTAAATTATGATAAGTTATTTATTTTGGATATAAATCTCTTATATGACTGCAAATATTTTCTCCTATTCTGTGGGTTATCTTTTCATTTGCTTCAAGACGTTCTTTTATGCACAAAAGTTCTTAATTTTCATGATATCCAACGGAATTTTTTTTTTTCTTTTGTTTGTGCTTTTGGAGTTGTATCTTAGGCCACGGCCTAATCCAAGGTCATACAGATTTGCCTCTGTCTTCTTCTAAAGGTTGTACATTAATAGCTTTTGCTCTGACATTTAGGTCTTTGAGCCATCTGGTCCACCTTCAGTTTTTCTGTGTGCATATCCAGTTGTATCAGCACTATCTGTTAAAAACTATTCTTTTTCCATGGAATTGTCTTGGCACCCTTGTTGAAGATCAATGGGCCATTACTGTGAGGGTTTATTTCTGGACTCTCAATTTTATTCCATTGATCTATATGTCTATCCATACGCTAGTACCGCACTGTCTTGATGTGTAATAAGTTTTGAAACCACGAAGTGTAAGTCTCCCAACTTAGTTTTTCTTTTTCAAGATTATTCTGGTTATTTTAGGTCCCTTAAAGTTCCATATGAATTTTGTCAATTTGTCAAAGAAGCCAGCTGAGATTATGATAGGGACGGTGCTGAATGTGAAAGTCAATTTGTGGAGTACTACCATCTTAACAATATTAAGTCTTCTGATCCATGACCACCAAATGTCTTTCTACTTATCTGGGTCTTCTTTAATTTCTTTCAACAATGTTTTGTAGTTTCCAGAGTAAAAGTTTTATGCTTTGTGACTAAATTTATTCCTATCAGATTGTTTTCATGCTATTGTAAGTGGGATTGCTTTTTCTTTTCTTCCTTTCCTTTCTCTTTCTCTCTTTCTTTCTCTTTCTCTCGTTCTTTCTTTCAAGAGAGGGTCTTGCTCTGTCGTCCAGGCTAGAGGGCAGAAATGCAATCTTGGCTCACTGCAACCTATACCTCCTGGGCCCAAGTGGTCCTCCTGCCTCAGCCTCCCTAGCAGTTGGGACTACAGGCACACATCACCCAAAAAAAAAAAGAAAATTTTTTTTGTATTTTTTTGTAGAGACAGGGTTTCACCATGTTG